CAAGCTGTGTGCAGAGCACAAGGAATGGATTGATGGATGTGTCAAATCTTGTTCCATCAATATTTCAAGAACCACTGGATGGATTGGAATCAAATTTGATGCACAGATACTTGGTACACATACGTGCATATTAATTATCGAATTTGCAGACTAGTTAACTGAAGTTGCAGACTCCCTGTACTGTTTGTGCAAATGATTACAAATTTTGTACATGCATGCTGTTTGTGTAGTTCAATGTTTAATACTTAGGTAATTAACATATGTAGACTAATTACTAATTAATCACTTTCAGAATGTTTTTTTGATATCCTAACAACTGTTTGCTCAAATAGGTTAAAATATGGTATAAGTTTTCTGTTTTTGTAGTTGAATGTCTAAGAAGTTGATTTGGAATTAATCTATAATATTTAACTAATTTGCATACTAATTAACTACTTGTGCATGTTTAGTTGATAACAGTTTGCTCAAGTTGTTACAGATTTGTACATACATACTGTTTGAGTCGTTGAACACTATAGAATTAAACTGCATATGTTAACTTAAGTTTGGAAGTAATCTTATGTATGTTACTTGTTCAATTTTGAGAAAATTGGTCATAAGTAGTATGACAATGTTCATTGGTTTGATATGTAAAACCATGGAGGTATTGTCGCATGACACCATGAAATAGCATTCTTTTGTGTGTTACAGTGAAGTGCAATGTTAAACAAAAATTGCACATTGTAAATTTCCATAAGCACAACAAAAAAAGGAGAATAGACATAATCCTGTGATTCTGGTCAAGCCTTTAAAACTTACTTTTTTCCCTTCAATTCTGGCAGTCTGTCTCCCAGTACTGCAGCTAATCCAGTGGCACCAGCACCTTCAACCACAGCCTTTTCTAACTCTATCAGTCTCAATATTGCCAAAGCAATTAGGTCTTCACTGAAATTGAAAAACATTTGAACACAAATGCTCAGTCATTGTAGCAGTGTTCTTCTCGTACTTTGTGGCAGTGTTCCCATTCTGTGTGACAGTATTCTTCCTGTACTGTGTAGCAGTCTTCTCCCCGTGCTGTGTAGCAGTGTTCTCCCCGTACTGTGTAGCACTCTTCTCCCAGTGCTGTGTAGCAGTGTTCTCCCCGTGTGTGTAGCAGTGTTCTCCCAGTGCTGTGTAGCAGTGTTCTCCCAGTGCTGTGTAGCAGTGTTCTCCCTGTACTGTGTAGCAGTATTCTCCCCGTGTGTGTAGCAGTGTTCTCCCAGTGCTGTGTAGCAGTGTTCTCCCCGTGCTGTGTAGCAGTGTTCTCCCCGTGCTGTGTAGCAGTGTTCTACCCATGCTGTGTAGCAGTGTTCTCCCTGTGCTGTGTAGCAGTGTTCTCCCTGTACTGTGTAGCAGTGTTCTCCCGTGCTGTGTAGCACTCTTCTCCCAGTGCTGTGTAGCAGTGTTCTCCCCGTGTGTGTAGCAGTGTTCTCCCCGTGCTGTGTAGCAGTGTTCTACCCATGCTGTGTAGCAGTGTTCTCCCTGTGCTGTGTAGCAGTGTTCTCCCTGTGCTGTGTAGCAGTGTTCTCCCAAGATGTTCATCCAAATATAGCATAATGTAACTAATTTCAATAATATTAATTTGCCATAAAAGGAACAACCTCTTTTGATGCCTGGAAAGCTACAGGTGCTGTGCCAGGATACAAAAAAAAACACCAATGAAGTCATCTTACCTGACTGTTACCATTTTATCTATTAAAGGTTTAGCAGTAGCAAAGGCATTTACACCAACAGTAGGAACAGCTAGACCTGTTAAAATTGAAATAGCATTATGAGCAACTAGAATGAATACCACATATGATCATGATGAAATAATAGAGAGCATGTCGTAGGATGCTCAGAGGATATGTTGATTTTCCAGTGCTAGACCATACAGAGAATGACTTACCATCAGCCAATGTGGAAGATACTGGAGTATATATCGGTCGTCCAGCTTCTAATGCAGCTTTAAAACTAGCACAGCGTTCAGATTCTACCCCCTACAAAAAAAATAATTAATAAAATTAATTTCACAAAAATAAAAGCAAGAGTACATTCCAAACATGTTTTATCATTTTACTGGCTTATATACAGCTAGCTTGGTGTGATTTCCAAAAATGATAGAAGCACAAGGGAAACACCCAAAGCCCAATACTTTCAATACATGTAACAACAGACCCCAAAACCAGAAAGAAAATGCTGTGTTTGCATTGTCGGCAAAAATTACAGACTTACTAGTATTTTCTCACATTATGTCAACAAATAAACTCTGCCGTAAATGGTTATTTTTTGATGGCTGTCACTATCTGATGTTTCTGCAATTTGATTGGGACTGACAAAAAATCGTCCCGGGAAGTGAAAACTACATTGTTCTGTCAGGCATGTATTGTGTTTTGAACACTGCGGAGGGCGCAACTCATGCAATCTTGTCAGGCTAAAAGATTGAGGGCTGGACCAGTTTAAATCTTGAAGTAGGAAGTGTATTATAATGGGTGGATTGAGTGAATCATCTTAAAATGCAAACATATTAAAAAATATTGTACATGTGCTTACAATTATTTGTACTTGTGGATATAGACTTTTGACTGCCAAAGCTGTTCCAGCAATTAAACCACCTCCCCCAACTGGAATGACAACAGCATCAATATCAGACACTTGTTCGACAATCTCTAATCCCATAGTGCCTTGCCCAGCTAAGATGTGTGGGTGATCATAACTGCAAATAAATACAAACAAATTAAAAAATAAACTCAAGTGAATTTCATGGAATTGCAGATGAAAGCAATGATCTGGTATGGTATAGTTTGCTACCATTAAAAAAACATACTCAGAAATTCTTGAAAGCCAGCAAGAGGGGTAGGGTTACTGTGATGTTAAAAATTCTGAAATAAAAATATATGGTCACCAAACTAAGTTTTCCACAGAACAACCTCGAAAATTGATAAAAAATTTGTGTTTTGAGTAGTTTACAATTTGTTCCCATACTTCAAAATTTTGTTCGGTGATGTATGCTAAAACTTTTTGCATACTATTTCTTGAAAACACATCCATAAAAATAATAAATATGAATGATGTTGCATGTATATAATCATCACACAACAATTATTGAATGATTTACTGTGATCAATTTTTGGTAAGTTAAATTTCTTACTCAACAA